GGAAGAGTAAGAAAAAAAGGAGAAAGAGTAAAAGGAATAGAGAAAGGAAATGAGAAAGAAGAGGAAGGAATACCCAGAAACGGAGGAGATGAAGAAGAAAAAGAAAGAGAAGAAGAGAAAATGAGGAAAGGAATGAGAGGGAGCTAGTTATATATAGGTTTTATACGGATCAAAACCGGTCCGAATATACCAAATAACTATCACCTTAATGCCCAGCGGAGAGCTTCAATTTTGCTGAAAATTTAGGCAGCAAACATTTCCAAATCGACATCGGTCCGCAAATTTTTTTTTTAGAGGAATCAAAATATGTATTATCATACGGAGTACAAGGGGTACTCCACCCATAGTCTCAAAACACCTTACATGATAATAACAGTTAAGGCACTCTAAGCCAATTCAAAATATGAGGGACTGAAAACCTATGCAAAACTAACTTCTAGTAATTTCTTGGACACATAGACTAGGGGAGTTACACCAGTGAAAAAAGGAGAATAAAGAATTTTTAGTCTTCCCCCTTATCCATACAAAAGTCCTCCTTTGAATTAAATCAAAAGCCTTACCCTCATCTCACTGTTGTGCGTTATGGATAATAGAGTTCCTCATATACCATATGGACCATGTGATCACTAAGAATATGAGAAACCAAACATCAGGTTTTACCACCCTTTTGATCCCTAAGCTGTGAGCTTCACAAAGAAGGGGAATGGAGTTGGGCAGGGGTAGAGAAATCCCCCACTAGTTGTAGCATTTCATCCATAGGCTCTGTATCTTTGGGCATTGAATGAACAAGTGATTTTCATCCTCGAGGTCCCTTCTGCATATGCAACATATAGTTTCTGCTTCTTCCAACTTGACACCCCTCTTCAAAAAACCATATTTTGTTGGGAGACCATTAAGAAGAAGGCGCCAACCGAAACAACTGATTTTAATTGGTACTAATCTGTTCCATAGCCTTGTGCAGATTCTTGGTTCCAAAATACTTTTCTGTCCAGCCATCATTGAGTAAGCCTTGCCAATTGTGTATCCATTTGCGGCATCAAAGCTCCAAACTCTTTGGTCGGGTTATGTAGAGAACACGATCCCACCTATAAGGCTTTCCTTTAGCATTTGTTCTTTGTTCCTTTCCCTGCCAAAAGGTTCACGTCTCCATGCATTTCTCCAAATCCATAAGCCATTAGAAATTTGGCCCACTTCCATAACATTAGCATTCCTATTCGAAGCTAAATTAAATAATCTAGGAAAGGAGACATTCAAAGAATCTATTCCTGCCCATTTATCATACCAAAATTTAATTTTGTCACCCATCCCCAACTTCCAGATGAAATCGTCCCTAAATACCCATGAGCCTTTACCCCCCTCATTACCTAGAGCCACAATATTCCCCCATAAGGAAGGTAATTTCCTAACTTGAAATTGTTTGATATCCCACTTAATGTCACCACTGTAATACTTATTGGAAATAACTATCTTCCATAAGCTGTTCTCTTCCTTCCCAAATCTGTCCCACCACTTCCCTAACAAAGCTATATTTCTATACTCAAGATTTGGTACTCCTAACCCTCCCTCCTTTTTCCCCCTACATACTTTCTCCCAACTTAACCATGCTAACCTATTCTTCTCCTCTGAATAGCCCCACAAAAACTTCCGTTGTAAGCATATAAGTTCATGCAGCACAATTTTAGGAATTTTAAAAATAGACATAAAGTAGATAGGGAAGGCAGAAAGAACGGACCTTAACAACGTAACTCGGCCACCGATCGACAGGTGTTTCGCTTTCTAGATTGCCAGCTTCTTACTAAAATTGTCAATAACTGGAATCCAAGCTTTCCTCCTGCACATAACATTCCCAACTGGCATGCCAAGGTAGCTGAATGGGATGGAACCTGATTTACAATTAAGAGTAGCAGCTGTCATTCTTCCCCACTCATCCGAAACATAGAATGAATACAGCACACTTTTGTTAAAATTGATTTTCAAGCCCGAAACTAGTTCAAACCATCTCAAAATCCCTTTCATAGCTTTTATATTTGTAGGATCTGCCTTCCCCATGATAACGGTGTCATCGTCAAACTGGAGGTGGGATATGTTAAGGCCAAAAGGGCCTATATCGACTCCTTGGAATAGGTCCTCGGAATAGGCCCTTACTTACAACTGATTCAATCAACACATTTAAACCTTCCGCAATAATTGAAAAGAGAAATGGAGCAATGGGATCACCTTGTCTTATCCCTCTCTCCATTTTGAACTCATCAGTTGGGCTTCCATTAACAAGAACTGATATTGAAGCAGTTTGCAAACATTCCTTTATCCATGTTCTCCATTTTTCACCAAATCCAAGCCTCCACATCATTTCATCTAAGAAATTCCAGTTCACACAGTCATATGCTTTCTCGAAATCTGCTTTAAAAATGAAGCGACTAACCTTTTTCCTCTTGATCTCCTCCGCCACTTCATTTAAAATCAGTATTCCATCAGTGACCTGTCTTTCTCCCAAAAATGCAGATTGTGCCCCACTAATCACTTTAGATAAAACTTTCCTAATCCTGTTAGCCAGCACCTTCAATATTATTTTATAAAGACTATTAACCAAACTAATTGGTCTATAGTCTTTTAAGTCAACAGGATTAGCTTTTTTTGGGATAAGGACAATAAATGAAGAATATAGTCCCTTTACCAATTTGCCATTGCTGGAGAATTTTTGAACAAAATCAACAATATATTTCTCAACCACACTCCAGAAAAATCTAATTAGATGGAAGCTGAACCCATCAAATCCTGGGGACTTATCCCCTCCACATTCCCACACTGCTTGTTTCACCTCTTCTGCTGAGATATCTCTTTCTAACCAAAGTTTGTCTTCATCATCTAACTGTTTGAATTGTAATCCATCAAGCTTTGGCCTATCCCATTGCTCTTCTTGAAAGATATTATATAACAAGCACTAGAATCATAAATATCAATTTTGGTCCATCAACTTTATGATTTTACACAATTTTCATCTCTCAATTTTTTTTTCTCATATTGGTCCTTCAACTATGAGTAATGTACATTTTTAATATAATTAATTTACTAATGATTCATTATTTAAAATATGAAAACAATATAATTTTATCTACATTTTTCTTATACCATACAAGTTTATATTATAATCGCAACTAAATAATAAAATTTGCAACTAAACAATAAAACTTGCAACTAAATAATAAAACTATTCTATATAAAAGATTAA